TTCACATAAGGTGGTTTCCTTAAGGGTATCATGGATAACACTATAGGAAAAGGCACAAGGGACTCCCTTAAGTGGAGCCTCTTTGCAGACCGAAACTTTCGTCTCTAAGGTCGTGAAAGGTCTCACCATGAGTTTTTAGTTTAGGGTTTATACAAAAAGTAATATGTTTCGTTCCAAAATCCTACCCTCAAGAGGATATCTCTTGAGACATATTTCTTTTTTGGAATCCCACCTACTCTAGGCGAGGTTGTCACAAAAACTCAAAGGGATGATGTATCCCCTTGGCCAATAGACGAGCCTTCTTTCTAATGGTTTTTGAAATTAATTTTTTGAAATAATAAAATCCCGCCATGAATAAATAAAATAAAGACAATAAAGATATAAAGACAAATAAACCAAAAGAAACAAATAAATATAATTAAATAATATAAAAATAGAAAAACAAAAAAAAAACAAATTACAAAAGATAGGCTTCTAAACCCTAGGGTTGAATCTCCAGCAGAGTCGCCAACTGTTATAACACGTTTGAAAATCAAAGTCTCCACCATTAATTTTTATCCTAAGGAATGAAGTATAACGGGTAACCCTAATTTGGTCAGAGATTCTAAGTTGTTGACTCGTTTTTAGACGAAGTGAATGTGTTAGGAACCCCTCATCTACCTTGTTCACAAGGATACTAAGATTTAGATTTACAATTCAGGAAATAGGGTTTTAATTTTAATTAGGGGAACTCGCCACGATTTTAGTCATACTGATACATATCCTTTTATGAGGAATCAGAGTCCCAATTCGTAGTTCGTAGTTGTTTGTTGGTGTTTTTTATGGATTATAAAAATATCTCGAATTAATCCTTGAATCAAGTATGGGTTTGTAAATTGCGGAGTTGTTAGACGAAGTTCGCAGTTAATGAGAAATATCTCCATAATCTTTTTTTGAAAATAATATCTTGAATTTATTAAGTTAGTAGAAAATTGTTAATATTTGATTGGGTAGATGTTTTTTTAAAAATATTAAAAATATTTTTATGCATGAGGAAAAATAATTTTAATGCAATTAAAAAAATATTTGAATGGATTATTATATAAAAAAAAGGATTTGAATTAATAAAATAAATTTAGAATTTATTATAAATGTATTCAATATTTAAACATTGATTATATAAAACAATATAAAATAATAAATGAATAAATAAATGAATAAATAAATAAAAATTAATTAATTTTAATTAATTAACGCAGGGGGGGGTGCAAAAATAGTTTGTTTAGTAAAAGGTTGGGGTGTAAATAACATGGCCCTAAATCGAGATATTGGGTTTAGGCCCAAAGCGCAGGGGGTGCAAGCTTGTATGCAGTAGAAAAACCAAAGGGTTGGTTTAGAAAGGGTGCAAGTTTAGATATTGAATTGGGCCTGCTTTCGTAGGAGGGTGTAATTTATGGTTAGGAAAGAGTAAAATAAAACGGGGTGTGTGTTAATAGAAATGGGCCAAGGCCCAAAATTGTGAACGTGTGGGAGGTCCGTTTGGACCTCGGGCGGGCGAACACATAGATTTATGGTGGATGCATGTTTGAGAGATGTTTGATCAAGATCAGATGGTTGCGATTGAAGGCGCGCGTAAAAGGGTGTCGCACGGGATCCGATCGTATTATATTTTTGTTTTTCTTCATTTTTCACTTCATTTACATTTCATACCTCTCCCTCTATGTTATCTCTTCCCTCATTCTCCTTCTAACAACAAAACAACATTGCCGCTCCAAACCCTAACCCCCCATCAATGGCGGGGATGAAACCCCTCGACCCCAATTCAAACCCCAACCACCCTCAATTCGACATATCAAACACCAATCTTGACGAAAAATATAAAAAAAATGCAAAAGCTAAGTTCTTCAAGTGTTACCTCTATCGCGATGAATCTCAGTGTTTTTTTGTTGATTTTTGGTCCGATCTGGTTCCTGATCTTCTCTTTTTGTGTTTGACAGGTACGAAAGATTATTGTAAGAGTTTGTTGATATCAATTTTGGTAAAACAATGACTTGATAATGTTTTGCTAAATGTCTTAATATTTGAAGCAAACTATTTTGAATGATATCAAAGCAGATGTCTTGACATCTGCCTCCTGAACTAAACTCAGTCCAATATCAGTTTATGTTTTATGTTTCCTGTTTTCATGCGTGCCATAATTCAGGATTTGTGACTCATAGGCTGCAAAAAATATGGAGGAATATTTTTCTATTTGAATTATCATTATAGATTATATCTTGGGCTGTTTTCATGGAAATATTCAAAAGATTTGAATATTTGTTTTTCAGCCCAAGCCTACTGATGCGCATATATAAGGACTTGCTTCCTTATTCGTAGAACTGCAACTTTTAAAGAAGAATACTTTCTTTTCTGTTTTAGAAGTCTAAGTCTTTTAATTGTAAAACACTCTAGTATTGGTTTAATGCTTGAGTTGTTATTTGGGTTGTTAATTGTGGATCATTCATAAGCTTTTAAGTATTAAATAATTGAAGTCTTTAAAACTTATTATTTCAGTTGTTTCTTCACTGTAAGTGATTGAAGGGATTTGAGGAGGGCCTCATACCTAGGTGTGTCTTAGGTAGAAGTATAGCACAAGTAGTGATTAAGTGAATAGATTGTAAACTGGTTGTTTACTGCGGATCTATGAATTGATACTATTTAGTAGACTTGTCCTAGGCTTGGTAGCTCCCCAGAGTAGGTGTTGTTGTACACTAAACTGGGTCAATAATCCTTTGTGTTTTTATTGCTTTTATTATTGTTACACTTTACATTGTCCTCAAATATTTGTATCTTGACATCTCCTTCGACATCACATACCTGATACCAGAATTCCAATTGGTATCAAAGTAGACATCCTGCTCTTTATCTGAGTGAGATCCAAGGAAGATACTTTTTGGTACTATGGACAAGGAAGGAGGATTTGTGAACAGACCATCCATTATAGATGGAAGTAATTATGACTATTGGAAACCACATATGATTGCCTTCTTAAAGTCTTCAGACAACAGGGCTTGGAAAGCTGTTTTAAAAGGATGGAAACACCCTGTCAAATTGGGAAAAAATGGAGAACCTACTTCTGAGTTAAAACCAGAAAAAGATTGGTCTAAAGAAGAAGATGAAATTGCTCTTGTAAATTCTAAAGCCTTGAATGCTATATTCAATGGAATTGACAAGAACATTTTCAGATTAGTAAACACATGTGAAGTAGTTAAAGATGCATGTGGAATTCTTCAATCTATCCATGAAGGCACATCCAAAGTTAATATGTCAAGACTTCAGTTGCTCACCACAAAATTTGAGAATTTGAGAATGAAGGATAATGAAAGTATTAATGACTTCCATATAAACATTCTTGAAATTGCTAATGCACCCAATGCTTTAGGAGAGAAAATACCTGAAGACAAATTGGTGAGAAAGATGCTCAGGCCTCTTCACAAGAGATTTGATATGAAAGTGACTGCTATAGAAGAAGTTCAAGACATTGACAAAATGAAAGTGGATGAACTTGTTGGATTCCTTCTGACATTTGAATTAAACATCAATGAAAGATCTGAAAAGAAGAACAAAAGCATAACCTTTGTATCAAATACTAAATATGAAGAGGAAGACTGTGATCTGGATACAGGTGGAGGATTATCAAACTCCGTAGCTATGCTTGGAAGACAGTTTAACAAAGTGATAAAAAGAATGGATAGGAACCAAAGATCAAATGTCAAGAACATCTCATCTGACATCGATAAGTCAAATGAGTTTGGAAGAAAAAGGACTGGAGAAAAATCCACTCAAGGGAAGGGAATACAATGTCATGAATGTGAAGGATTTGGTCACATTAGAGCTGAATGTCCTACATATCTTAAGAAACAGAAGAAGAATCTATGTGTTACTTGGTCTGAAGAGGATTCAGAGAGTGATCTTGAAGAATCTGCCAAGTATGTTAAAGCATTGACAGACAAATATGTATCTGATGAAGAGTCTAGTGATGGGAAACTAACCTTTGATGAGTTAGCTGCTTCATACAAAGAATTATGTCTCAGAAGTGCAGAAGTGTGCCTTGAAGGGGAGAAACAGAAAGTCCTCATAACTCAGCTGAAGGCAGAAAGGGAAGAGCGTCTAAAAACAATTTCTAATATGAAAAGTGAAGTGACTTCTCTGAATTCAAATCTTGATAGAATGGTCAAATCTCTCAAGATGCTGAATAATGGATCTGACACATTAGATGAAATTCTTTTTGTTTCTTTTCAGATTTCTTTTATACATATCAATCTACGGTGTCATATAATTTGAATTTCTTTTGAAGACACTTCTTTACTATTGAATTTTCATGTTCTTTTTTTACATAGTTACTATACAAAGTTTCATTTCATCTATATTATGTTTTGTGAATCTTAATTTAACATTCTTCATTCGAATTTTTAAATTTTTTTTTATGTTTATAATATATAATTCATCTTAAAATTTGACTTACCCGTGCAAACGCACGAGTCTTCTACTAATATTATATTAAAAATATGATAACTTTCCAAACAAATATTTTCTCAATGTGATCCCGTTGTTATGAAAACAATGCAAATATTTTTTGCCTAGATTTTTATGATAAAGTGTGAATTAGGTGTTGCAACTTGATTGAATTAATGTTAATTGTAATTTTAAATATTAAAAGGTACTAGTAACATTGTAAGAAAAAATTATGAAATCTGTTATAACTGTTGACTTTAATTAAATAAATGAAAAAAAGAAACAAATAACGGATCATTATAATCGATAAATGATAACATATACGCGTGACAGCACATAACTAACGGAAAATGAAGTCAACCTTAACATATACCCGTGACAACACATAACTAACAGAAAATAAAGTCAACATTATATTGCCGTCAAGTTCTGTGTCCATATAGGTTAAAAGGAAAGATTGGTCTTTGCTAAGTAAACACACAACTCACGTTATCTGAACTGTGATTCCTTCTGCGTTGTTTCGATCGATGGAAAGCGACGACGAAGAACAGGTGTATGCTGAGTATCTGGAGCGATCTCGTAACCTAAGTGTACAATTTCTCTCTGTCTATTGTTCCTTTCGTGCTCTTCAATATTTCTGTGGTCCACTTAATACTATACTGATCTCTTTATTTTGATTCTCGACAGCGATTTGATGCTATCGAACCTCCACCACATATATGCGGCGGTATCAGCCCCCTTCACATAACCAACGAAGTTCGCGGCGATCTCAATCCCCTCTGCGAGCTTGCGTTACACAAGTACAACACTGAACAGGTTCCAAGCTTACCACCACTGTACTGTATACGAATTTACTCATTCATCGACTTATTATTTCTTCTTATCTAGGGTACCAATTTTGTGTTTCTTCACATTCTCAAGTCAACCCATCAATATGTTTCTGGTACTAATTATTTCATCACCTTTCAAGCTAAATCTCCAAACTGCCCTCTTGTAACTTTCCAAGCCTATGTTTTCGTCGAGTTGCCCTGTTATGGAGGACAACCTGTGGTCCAATCGTGTGCTATCAAGCCTACCTAAGCAACACATACACCATGGTAATCATAATGTTGAAACAATGATATGCATGTTTACATTTTTTAACTTTGGTTATAGTTTTTCATTTTTAAATTGGTATTTAGACTGAGCTTCAGCTTTTTTTTTCAAGAAATCACCGATGACTAAAAATTGAAGTTCATAACAAATAGTAGAAACCAACATTCGGCCTGGCAATATTAAGTTTCAAAAGATATTGGAGATAAATCACATCTGATTCATTTATCTAACACGAATATTGGACATTGATATTGATGTATCGACACAGAAAATAATTTGAAACAAATAAATAAACTTAAAATATTCACATTTGTTGGTGTCATGTCAGGTACTGAAACGATACACCTTTGTTAAGAGATGTTGATATTACTGATGTTTATATCCTTTTCATTAACATCACTTATTGCCTCCCTTCACTTAGCCTCCCTTCACTTATGTTGTGCGATGTGTGTTTTCATGCTGACTACACAATAGCACCAATGGTGTACTAGAGGCGTGTGCGAACTGAAGGCACCTTATTATGAGATGCCGACTTTTTACTAGACTATAAGTTAGGGATAACCTTCGCCATAAATTAATCAAGCATGACCTGCAAATCTCACCCTCAAACAAAAGAAGACCATGTTGTTCTATACCTTTTTTCTTTGGCAGAATATCCATCTACCCCAAATTCCAATAACTTATTAACCTCTCTTCCTCATTAAGGTTCAACTGGCTGAACCTATAATACTTCAGCATCCAGTCAATCACAATTACCATTGGTAGAACCTCATGGCTCTAGGCCACAACTTGAGTTACCACAACATAGCTATATAATTTGCAAACTTGGTACCCAGATGTAGGTAACAAATACCTCTGTCACTACAGAACTGGTTAATCTGTTGCAGGGTTGAAATTGAAGAAATCGAAGAGAAATGGGGGTGAACTTTGAACTTTCTTTCTTTATAAAATTGTCCAACTAACTTTCAATATGAGATACAATGTGATTTATATAGGATCACAATATAGAATATTAAGAGTTTACAACAATAACTATTTCTAGTTCCCTAAAGGAATAAACTTCCCACTGCCCAAGGGAACCTATCTTTTGAATTACCCAAGACTGATTTGAATTTAACCAATAAAACTCCCTCATAAATTCAAATATTCCTTCGATCCATCATGCCTAGCATTTTCTTTCCTATGTCGAATATCTCCTTCGATAGTGGTTTTGTGAGAATGTTTGTTGCTTGATCCTTGCTTGCAACATGCTTCAATTCGATGCTTCCATCCTTCACATGTTCTCGAATAAAATGGAATCGAACATCAATGTGCTTGCTTCGTTCATGGTTGACTGGATTCTTCGCCAGTTCGATGTAAACTTCTTCTTCGAGCACGCCATTCAGAAAGGCTAACTTGACATCCATCTGCTGTATTTTCCATTTGTATTGAGCAGCTTGAGATATGAGTAGTCGAATTGTCTCCATTCTCGCAACAGGTGCGAAGACTTCATCATAATCGATTTCTGCTTTCTGCCTGTATCCTTTAGCCACAAGTCGCACCTTGTATCTTTCAATTTCACCTTGTGCATTTATCTTTTTCTTAAACACCCACCTCACACCAATTGTTTGACTTCCTTTTGGTAACTCTGCTAGTTCTCAAGTATCATTGTGTTTGATGGCCTTGATTTCTTCATTCATAACATCCTTCCAATTTTTGTTTCTTATTGCTTCTTTGAAACTGACATCTTCAGTGTCTGCCAACAAGCATACGAGATGCACTTCTTCTGTGTTTTCATACAATTCTTGTAAACTTCGCAACCTGGGCTATCCTTCATCATCATCAGGTCTTCTGGTTCTGTCGAAGTATCTTTTAATATAGCATATGGTACTTCGACCACAACTTCAGTTGAGTTGTTCCAGTCCCACTCGCTTTCTTCGTTTACTCGAACATCTTTACTTACTATCACATTTTTGTTTATTGGGTTGAAAAGTCTGTAACCTTTCGTTTTCTCATCATACCCAATGAGTATGTATTTCTGACTCTTATTTTCCAGCTTTGTTCTTCTTTGATCAGGTACATGTGCATAAGCCACACTTCCAAACACTTTGAAGTGAGACACAATTGGCTTTTGTCCGCTCCAAGCTTCTTGAGGTGTTAAATCTCCCAGCTTCGAATATGGACATCTATTTTAAACGTAGATTGCACATTGTACAACTTCTGCCCAAAATTCCTTCGACATGTTTTTGCTCTTCAGCATTGATCGAACCATGTCAAGGATTGTTCGATTCTTTCTTTCCGCCACACCATTTTGTAGAGGTGAGTATGCTGCAGTCAGAAATCTCCTTATGCCTTGTTCTTCACAGTACTTCATAAAAGCTGTCGAAGTATACTTCCCACCTCTATCTGATCGAAGAGCTTTGATGTGCTTGTTTGTTGCTTTCTCCACCATTATCTTAAACTTTTTGAATACTTCGAAGGCTTCTGACTTTTCTTTCAGAAAATACACCCAAGTTTTTCTTGAGTACTCATCCATAAAGGATATAAAGTACTTTTTTTCACTGAAGGATTCTGGGGTAAATGATCCACATATGTTAGTGTGAATCAATTCTAGAATTTGTTTGGCCTGATATTCCTCCTTCGATTGAAATGAAGTTCTCGTCTGTTTTCCAAACACACATTCTTCACAGAACTTTCCTTCGAATTCTACGTCTGGCAGTCCATGCACCATATTTTTCTTTGCTAACCTCCTTAGTCCAGCTTGATGTAGATGACCAAAACATAGATGTCACATGGATGCTTGGTCTTCGACATTGACTTGCAAACAATTTTCTTGAATGCTTCTCAAATTCAACTTGTACGTTCGATTTCTCCCCATTTCGACTTGAGCAACCAGACGTCCTGACTTGTCTTTTAAGTGCAAGCTTCGATCTTCCATGAGAATCGAATAGCCATTTTCTGTGAGTTGTCCCAGACTCAAAATATTTGCTTTGAGGTTTGGTACATAATACACATCTTGGATAGATCCTATCAAATCATCCTTCTACAAGAAACTGATTGTTCCTTTTCCTTCGACCCTTACTTTCGACGCATCTCCAAAAGAAACATGACTATCTTTAATTTTCTTTATTTCTTTGAACAAGTTCTTATGACCACACATATGGTTGTTTGCTCTTGAGACCAGGTACTACATAGTGTCATTTTCTGCATCAGCTTCCTTTTGAGTCATTAACAGAAATCCTTCATTCGATTTTGTTTCTAGAGAAAGATTTGTTGTTTCTTCTATCTTTCTTCTGAGTCGATAGTCTTTTGCAAGATGTCCCATTTTATCACAGTTGTAGCAACTGTAGGAGTTGAAATCTTTCGCATAGTGCCCTTGTTTGTTACATTTGTAACATTCAATATTGTTGTAATTCGATCTACCATCTCTCAGGGCACGTCCTCTGCCACGCCAGTTTTGTTGGCTTGACTGTCCTCAGTTGAAGTTGTTATTTTAGTAACTTCGACCACCATTATGTCCTCCACGACCATGTCCTCTCCCACGTCAATTTTGAGAGAAAAGTTCCTTTACGTCTCTGTTGAGTTTTGCATCTTCAAGTGCCTCCTCCTTCTTCTTTATTTTATGTTGTTCATGTGCCTCAAGCGAACCAACCACTTCTTCGACAGTGATTGTCGAATGGTCCTTCGCCTTTTCTATTGCGCATATTATATTTTCGAACTTGTCTGTCAAAGATCTCATAATCTTTTCGAAAATATGGGTATCAGTCATTGCTTCTCCATTTCGATTGAGATGGTTTGCCACCGTCTACACACGAGTGATGTAGTCCAATACGGACTTTGTCTCCTTCATTTTTATTCTCTCTATTTCTCCTCGAAGAGTCTGCAATCGAACTTGCTTGACTCTATCTGCTCCTTTGAAAGCCTTTTCGAGCGTGTCCCACGCCTCCTTCGATGTAGTCGAACCAGCAATCTTTTTGAAAACTGATTCGTCAATTGCTCTGAACAACATGTACAATGTTGTTTTATCTTTTGCTTGTGTTTCTTTCAATGTTTTGTTCTGAGCAGCTGTGTTTGTCGTCGTATTTGATAGTTCTTCAAACCCATCGTTAGTTACTTTCCGTACATCTAACGATCCCAACAACGCCTTCATCTGGATACTCCAATTCTCATAATTCGACTTTGAAAGTCGTGGCAGTGACATTTGACCCATCATATTTGTCATGCGCTCTGATACCAATTTGAAGAAATTGAAGAGAAATGGGAGTGGACTTTGAACTTTCTTTCTTTATAAAATTGTCCAACTAACTTTCAATATGAGATACAATGTGATTTATATAGGATCACAAAATAGAATATTAAGAGTTTACTGCAATAACTATTTCTAGTTCCCTAAAGGAATAAACTTCCCACTGCCCAAGGGAATCTATCTTTTGCATTACCCAAGACTGATTTGAATTTAACCAACAAAAATCCAGTAACTTCTTTCCTTGTGTTGGTGCACAAGGTTAATACATGAAAGAAAGGTAAAAGAGAATATATTTATTACAATGACGACTATAAAGCTTACAAAAAGAACGATACAAATGATTGCTACAACTAGTCTATTTATACACAAACTAAATTGCCACGTAGGCCCTAAAAAGTTAATTTTGATGACTAAGTCAAAAGGTACAAAATCTAGGAAATACTAAACTTAACAGTTATGCTAACAAACTCAGAATCCAGAAGCTGAGCTGAACATACTTCTGGACGTAACCTCAGAAATTTATGCTTCTGACTAATAACAACTTCTTAATATATCAAACTACTGCTTCTAACTAAACAGTCTCAAAAGCTTACATCTTCTGGCTAACAATCTCAGAAGCTCAATTGTTTCTGAGCAACAACATTTTCTAAATATGAATTACTTCTAACACCTTGCACGTCTATAATTTTAAATTGCTATCGCAGATGCGGTTGTGGGACAGTAATTGTGTTTGTTGCAATCTGTTGCAGTATGAATTTTGATTAAGAAGAGTTTGAAATATATCATTAAAAATCTCTTAATGCTATATTTTTTAAAAGTTGATTGAATTTTGGGTTCTAAATTTTGAGTTTTGACAAAAATATTTGAAAAATCGGAAAGGACTGGAATCACTTGATATCATAACTGATTTCGAATCGGACTATATCGATGGTAAAAAACCAACAAAAAAAATATTTCAAAAAACATGAACAGAAATTGTCTAATGTGATTTCAATAAGAAAGGAAATCACATCGTAATTCCAATTTGACACGGTTACGAAAACTTCCACAATATCGCAGTTGCAGAATATGTTGTTTTAAAAAAAATCAAAGTTGGTGTATGATATCGGTATGGAATATGGTGTTTTAAAAAAAAGAGTTTTTTTATTTTTTATTTTTTATTTTACTTTTTTATATTTCAAACCTCTCTGATTTTAGCATTACTTCATTGGTTTTCTGTGAGTTCCTTTCTAATATATATTTTTTCTAAATTATCTGAAACGAACTATCTGCTTGGAGGAATATATTATTTGCCAAGATGTACATCTCATATATCAATTGTAATTAACTCAGGAATTTGTATTTGTTTGCTGCTATTTTAAAATTTTACCATTTCAACGAAGAAACGTATGCAAATTTGCTTGTTATCTGTTGCTAAAGAGGAGCAGGAAGAATTTTTACATGACTTGATTTAATACCATCTCAATTTTTCAGTGCTTGAAACTACTTTAACCAGTTCATTTTGCTTTTGCAGTGTCAATATTTGATACAAGAGATGAAGTGTTGATCACTCGTAGAAGCAAATGGAGACATGCCGATAGGAGTAATAATAATACACATATTTTTATTGTAGAAAGTTGACTTTGGAGTTCTTGTTTGCAAGATATGTTTGAAAAGTTTATTAAGACTATATTTGATGGAACATTATAATTGAGATTTATGCATATATTTTGATATTATAAATTTCATACGTTAGTGATTTATTGACGTACTTGAAAGTATTAGGGATTAGCTAGCGTTAAATCTGGAATAAAAATATAGGAATGTAATGCAAAATCGATTAGATAAGCTCTATTTTATTAACTGAAAAGATGACTTCTGACTCACTTCAAAAAGGTTTAAATACACAAAAAAGAAATCCTAATGAAATTAAAGAGATCATATTGGGCTTTTAATCTAAAATAGAAGTAAATCATAAAAATTGCACAAAATACTAAAATGCTCTGTGACATGCGATTTGTTCTTCGATACACGTAGCCAACCTTCCTACACCAGTCTCTTTCAACTCTAAAGAACTCGACTCTGAGTTCTCTTGATAAAGAGTCTCATCTACTTGATACTCATAAATATCAGCAACATTTAAAGTATTGGAAATATTCACGGCATCCGGGAGAACTACCACATCAGCATTATCATTGATCTTTGTAATCACTTTGAACGGGTCATACTTGCGTGGTTTCAGCTTGCTCTAAGTACCAACTAGGAACCTCTCTTTACGCAGAAACACCAAAACATCGTCTCCTACATTGAAAACTTTAATCTTCATGCATTTATCAGCAGCCACTTTATTCTTCTGCCCAGTAGCCTCTAACTTAGCCTTGACAACTTATTTAACAACTACCATATTCCCAGTCATATTCTCAGCAGCCGCACTAACTCCAGGTGGCTTAGGCAACTTAACCAAATCAACCACATGCTTAGGGACAAAAATATAAACCATAGAAAAAGGTGATTTCCCTATAGCTGGGTGCACAACACTGTTATAAGCAAATTCAACCCGAGGTAAGACTAAATCCCACTTCTTCGACTTATCTCAACAAACACTCTGAATCATATTCCCCAAAGTTCTGTTAGTAACCTCAGTTTTTCCATTTGTATGAGGATGAGTTGTAGGGCTCCTATTCAACGTGGTACCAAACAATCTCCAAAGAATAATCCAGAAATGACTGAGAAATTTGGTGTCCATGTCTAAAATAATTGACTTAGGAACCCTGTGAAGACGCACAACCTCCCTAAAAAATAGTTTGGCTATGTTGGATGCATCAACAGTCTTCTAAAAAGCAATGAAGTGTGTCATCTTGGAGAATCTGTCTAATATAACGAGCATGTAATCTATACCTTGTTGTGTATGAGGCAAGCTCAACACAAAATCCTTAGCTAAATTTTGCCAAATATAATCAAGAATAGGTAAAGGCATATAAATACTAGTATTTTAACACTGGCCTTTAGAAACCTGAAAAGTATACCACCTCCTGACTATAGCACCAATGTCCATTCTCAAGTGTGGCCAATAATATCTCTCCTCCAGGCTAGAAATGGTCTTGTCTCTATCCAGATGGCCGCTAAGACCACCACCATGCAACTCTCAAATTAGCCTATTTCTTAAAGAGGAGGAAGGAATGCATAATAGACCCCTTTTAAAAAGATAGTCATCTCAAATATGAAAATATGCACAAGGATGTTTTTCACTGCACTTGGCTCATAAATCCTTGAACTCAACATCACTTTCATACAACTCTTTTAGGCACTCAAAACCTGCTATCTCCTACGCTAAGGTAATTAGCAAGGAAGCCCTCCTACTCAATTCATCTGCTGCCTTGTTAAGAGCCTAAGACTTATGTTGAATAATAAAAATAAATTTATGGAAAAAAAACTCACCCACCAAGCACGCATCTTGTTTATGACCTTTTGGCAAAGAAGAAACTTCAAGGCTTGATGGTCAGTGAACATAATTAATTCCTTCTGAACAAAATAAAATTCCTACTGGCATAGAGCTCTAAAGATTGCATAGAATTCCTGATCATAAGTACTCCATTTCTTGTGAGCCTCGCTTAATTTTTCGCTGAAAAAATGCTACGATCATGTTTTGTACTTTGATAAGAATCCAAGAGGAAAGAAGTCTAGTTTTTTGGCAAAGACACAGAGTAAAAAGGAGCTTGATGAGTTTTTAAAAAATTGAATGTTTCTTTCCCGTGGTGATTAAAGGGTTGATGAATGTTTTAAAGACAGAAACAAAGATTCCCGAAGAAGTGCTAGAGATCCTAGAGGATTTCAAGGAGTTGATCGCAAAGGAATTAACCAATGATTTTCCTCCTATGTGAGATATTCTACATCAGATTGACCTTATTTCGGGATATAACTTACCAAACCTTCCTCACTATCGTATGAGCCCTAAGGATAATGATAATTTAAGGGAGCAAGTTGAAGATTTGTTGAAGAAGGGATTTATTTGTGAGACTATGAGTCCTTGTGCACTATGAGTCCTTTTAGTCCCTAAGAAGCGAATCAGTGGTGAATGTGTGTTGACAATTGATCCATCAATAAGATAACTATCAAGTATTGACTCCTAATTCCCTATTTGAAAGACATTCTTGACGAGTTGGTCGGTTCTAAGGTGTTCTCGAAGATAGATTTGCGTAGTAGATATCATCATATCAGAATTAGACCCGAGGAAGAATGGAAAACAACTTTCAAGAGAAAAGACAGATTATATGAGTGGTTGGTGATGCCTTTTGAGTTATCAAACTCCCTTAGCACTTTCATGATGTTGATGAATCAGGCTCTGGGCCTGTTTACTAGTTCTTTCGTAGTGGCTTATTTTGATGACATTTTGATTTTTAGTAAGACCAAGACAAAGCATTTGGAGAATTTGAACTAGGTGTTGCAAGTCTTACAAGAGAAACAACTATACATTAATTTGAAAAAGTGCACATTCAGCACCAACAAATTACTTTTCCTAGGCTATGTTGTTGGTGAAGAATTCATTCAGGTTGATAAAGATAAGGTGAGTGCTATCAGGTATTGGTCTGCACCTAAATTAGTGACTGGAGTTTGTAGCTTTCATGGTATGGCCAACTTGTATATGAGGTTTATCAAGGACTTCAGTACTATCACTGCACCTATTACTGGATGTTTGAAAAAAGGGAAGTTCAATTGAGGGTTTGAGTAAGAGTGAAGTTTTGTATTGATTAAGGAGAAAC